ATAGTTCAAATTTGAGACTTTCATCAACATAGTAAAAACGCGTTATTTATCGTTACGGCCAATTAATTAGGCTAATTACTTAACAAAATATGGAAAACTTTTTAGTTTTTCTATATTTCTTATAAAGATCACATGGTCCAAATTTAAGCCTTCTAACTTTATAGGAAGGGGGAGAATCAGATTTTACAATGAGAGGCGAAGTAACTCAAAGAGATGTTCGCTTATGTCTCACTAATGTCCTGGTTAATAATATTTATAATGCTTTCATAAATGTTATCATTAAGGTATAGAGTAAAATCGTGTTTTTATACTAGTATACTTAGAGAGAAAAAAATATTTTTTCTCCTTTATTGCAACTTAAAAATAATAGATATCGCAGCTTAAAAATAATAATCCAAAAATCTGTACCTGGAATATTTTCATCCAATAATGCTTGAAACTGGATTTCATTAAGTATTTTTACAGACAGTATATGGCAAAGGCATTGTATAATACTGACTTGAAAGTTAATTTCCGGTGAAAGAATCAGTTTTTTAATTAGAGCTGGAAAATTAATGTCTTCATTTGAATTTTCAAAGAGTAATAGAATTCTTCTGTTGTCACTCGCAACAAATAACTTCAATAAAGCTGGAAAAAAATACTAAGTTACAAGAAATAAGTTCGTTATACATTATCTATAGGTTAATCAGAAATAACTTGAACAAAGTTTAAAACTAACGCATTTTTATTGCATCTCTTGGATATCTATCTTTTTTTTACTGTTTTCGGAGACTCTTTATAATATCATCCTTTTGGAGATGTCATGCTTCTTTTTTCATAAAAGTAGTTTTGAAACAAAGAAAAAAAAAATGACCTTCTAATAAGCTCTGTTCTAGCACTTACAGCTATAGGCTCACCAGAATGGCGTAAGGCACATTTTTTTAAACTCTTTTCACGGAACAAGAATGGCCATCTTGTTTACTAGACTTAAATCCATCAGCTCTTTCTGCTTGATTTGTCTCTCAGAGCTGAAAAATTTTCTGACGCGTTTGCAGCTCTGCATCAACGCCAAAGAAGGTCATTTTGTAAACTTTAATTATGTTCAATGTAGTAATGTTTCATGTTAATTTGGAGATTTAATTATGATATTTTAACAAGTTTTAAAATTAGTGTTATTTCGCAGTCGGAAAATGGTCGAAATTGCGATTGAATTATAAGTGGAAAAGAAGCAAAACATTCGTTATGAAATACCTATTTTTTCCAATGTATATTTTAGGTTGAATTGAATGAGTTCAAATGCAAGCTTATAGGACTAATAATTATGAAGTTATAATCTATGTTTTATGTATAAAACGCGCAATCTTGCATTTACGCTAATTTATGGATCTGATGTTGATAACTAGACAAGACAAACTACTTTTTTCCATGAATTTGTTTAGTATCGAGTCGAATGTAATAAAACAAAGTCGATGATACAAATAATTTAAATGTTTTAAAATTTTTCTAGTTTCGAAAGTACTATTTTGTTCTTATACCTATTTACGCGTCTGTTTCTTTTTTATTTTTATGCTAAATTCAATAAAGTAAAAATTAAATTAATAGATCCAAAATAATTTTGACGCTATAAAAAGTTTTTATGCATAGACATATATTGTTAAAAAATTATAATTTTATACACAAAATCCTCATTTTTTCTAATATTTTAGCTCTATCGACTTAATTTTGATTTTATTGAACTTAGCACGAAAAAGAGGTAAAAAAACGATGCTTAGACGGCAATGTCAGACACATAAATATAAGTAAAAAGGAGTAAAAAACAATACTTTTCATTACATTATTCATAACAGTACTTTTCAACTTATAAGCTGTTAATCCTATCAACTTAATTTTATTTTATTCGATTCAGCAATATAAGTATTACCTTAGAAACAAGACCTCACTTGTCGTCTAAATAGGAATATTTCAGTTTCTCCGTAGAATAAAAGCAGTTTTTAACTTTAAAAAAAGCTATTATTATTGTCAACTGTTGTTATTATTACACTTCTAATTACTTATATACTTATAAGCTATTGATTATTAAACACTTTTTGGTTGCCTGGACTTATGGAATAGAATGCGACTTAATGAGGCAATCAGACCCGGACTTTATAGAGCCCTAAATTTTATTTTCCAAACAAAATATTTAACCACATATACTAATTTACAAAATTTCTACTGTTCGACGCTTTTTAACGAATTTCATTTCACAAACCATTTTAAAGTTAAAACTGCAGTTGGAGCATTTATGTTTCAAGGTATTGTAAAAGTGAATAAATATCAAATGTGATATACAACCTTAATTTTTAATTTTAAACAGAGCTTACTTAGTGAATTTATACTTTGCTAGTTTAAAGATCAACTTTTGTTATAGTAATGGTTGAACCCCTTTGCATACATGTCAATGCAGAAGTCTCAGTTCCCAACAATATTTAATACTTCACTTCACATTATTTAAGCTTGCGAGCACTTAACTTTTCAGTATGCTTATTATCTTATACATTTTCGAAAACTGTTTAGATATAGTAATAAATGTCATTATAAATCATATTTATTAAATCAAAAATGATTTTGTAAAGTATAAATTTTCCTTCCACTTTATGTAACTGAAAAAAATCTCCCGCGAAGGGCGGACGAAGTTGGCAAGTAAGCATTTACTATTATTTTTACTAACTTTTATAGCTCCTTTATTATTTTTTAAAATTATATTAGTTTTTTTTAAGCTGATAGGTTTTCTTTTTTTTTTCTTTTTTCGTCAGCTGACACTTTTTTTGCCTTATACTTTTTACTCAAATTTACGAATAGTTAAAAAAAGTTGAAAAACTGCGCTGGTTTCTGACACAAAAAAAAAAATAATTTAAATATTGAAATCCCTCCAAAATAGAAGGATTTAAATACAAACTCTTAGAGAAAATTTTGGAACTGGAACTGAGCAACTTTCATTCAAAAAGTAAATATTCCGAAGAAAGTGTTTGTGTTTATGTTAGAAAAAGAAAAAGAAAAAAAACAACAAAAAAACGAAATGAGTTGGTGAAAAAAATGTCCCTTTCTTAAGAAAGTGAATTATGGAAGGAAAAGGAGGGAAAAAAGTAAAGAAAATTAATTCAAATCCAGAATTCACTGAATCCTTGGGAGTACTTAAGACTGGCAAACTAAACTTTCAGCGCAAAATATTTAAATTTCTAGATTGATTTTTATCTTTGAAATTTCCATTTAAATGTTTGTTAAATAAGTGAGTTTTGTCCCTTTGTCTTTACTCTTATTTAATTCTGAAATTGGTCATATTTGTAGAGAAACAGAGCATTTTCAAATACATAAAAAATATTCCTTCGGAATTTTCCTCTACAGAATTAGAATAGTTGAAACATTTATTTTTTCCCTTAAACATTTCTAATTCTCAATTCAAGCATGTGGTGTTTTAGATTAAAACTTTTTTAAAAAATCTAATTACTTTTATAATTTTTAGTGTTGTTTTCTAACTGGTCAGTCACTGAGTTGAACCAGAAGTTCACCAACAGTTAAAAAGGCCTAAAACAAGAAAGGGATTCTGAAACAAATCTTCCTTTAGAAATCGCAAGCAAGACTAGCTTTCTGTGAATAATATTCATAATTTTTTTCAACAATTTTAAGGAAGGCTGACTATTTTCCTCTAAACAAAATTTCGAATTTAGCTTAAAATACAGAGGTTGCAAAAGTCAAGAGATAACAATATGCAAAAAAATAGATGGCAGTAGTATCGCGTGCAAAATGTATATATGGGTAGTGCACAGACAGGAGTTTTATTTGTGTTCAAATTATTCATCTGAGAATGTTTCTGATGTAATTATGACTATAAGACGAGAATTAACAGAGATAGAATGTGAATAGTAGTTGGAGCTAGAAGCATGGGACATTCCATTTCGGAAATTGTGAGAGAATTCAATATTCTTAGATCTACAGTATCATGAGTGTGCTGAGATTAGCTAATTTCAGCCATAACCTCCCCCCTCCCATGGACAACATAGTGACCGATCATTTGCACTTAATGGCCGACTCATGCGTAGAATAGTCAATGCTAACGGACAAGTCATGTCCGTGAAATAACCGCATGAAATACACGTGAAATGGACGTGTCCGTTAGGGGAGTGCAGCGAAATTTGACTATAATGGCAACAGAAGACATACTCTAGTGCCTTTATTAACAGCACGAAATCATGCCCAGTGCTTCTTCTGGATTCGTGATCATATTGGTTGGACCCTAGATGACTGGAAAAAAAAAAAAACTGTGGTTTGGATTTGGAAGAGTCACGATTTCAGCCAGCTGATCAGAGCTGATGGCAGAGTTCAAGTATGGTGCAGACTTCACGAAGACATGGGCCCACGTTGTAAATAAAGCATTGTGTAATGTGGAGGTGGCTCCATAATGCTGTTGGCTGTTTTTTTCATGGTATAGACTGGAACCTATGGTCCAGTTGAACCGATTATTAAATGGAAAAACCTCATGCTCAACTCCTCGGAGACCACTTACTGCCGTTCATGGACTTCATGTACCCAAACAAAGTTGGAATTTTTATGGATGGAAATGCACCATAAAAATGTCACCAAGCCTTAATTATTCGCGCCTAGTTTGAAGAACATTCTGAACAATTCCAGTGAATGATTTGGTCACCTAGATCACCAGACATGAATTCCATCGAACATTTATGGGATATAATCGAGACATCAGTTCGTGAACAAAATCCTGCACCCGCAACCCTTTCTCAATTATAGACACATATTTAGCCTTCATGACTGCATATTCCTGTAAGAGATTTCCAATTACTTGTGGAGTCCATGCCACGCCGAGTTGCCGCACTTTCTTGAGCTAGAGATGGTTCGATACGACATTAAGATCCCATGACTTTTGTCACCTCAGCATATGTATAGCATCAATTTAATGAATTATAAAGGCAGCTATATCTATAGTACTATTCTACTGAATTGAAAATACAGCTATATGTATAGCAGGAATTTAATGAGCTAAAAACGCAGCTATATCTCTAGTACTATTCTAATGAATTGAAATACAGCTATATATATATAGTATAAGCTTAATGAACATAAAATGCAGCTATATGTGTAGTATCAATTAAATGAATTGAAAAAACATCACTATTTAATTACACGTGGTCTAATGATGCATGTATTTTAGTCATTATAATATGTATGAGTCTTACCTAGAATATTTTTCATTAAATCTTTCATTAAACATGTCTTTAACAGGCATAAGATACCTTTCGAAACTACAATATCTATAATATTCATAGCATTCGTATTCTTTTCATTAGTCGAGTAAATTTGTAGGAAGACATATGTAATAGACATTCTCACTTCATCAGATGGATAAACCATACCACTTGCTAAGTAGTGAAGAACATCTGCTAAAAAAGAAATAATTGATACTAAAAAAATAATTTAAATAAAATTATTGATAAATAATTGAAAAAATAAGTAATTATTATTAAAATAAGGGTAATTTGAATCTGAAATTTAACCATCACTTAGTTTCCCATTTTGGAAATTATTCTGAAAATATTATATAATCTAATAAGTCTATATCTGATAAGTTAATATCTAATAAGTTCACAGCAATTATTTTCTCAACATAAATTACTTTAAGGACTTTCTTTCAAATTTTAGAATAATATCAAACGTTTATTTAATAAATGGGGCGTAGGCTGAAAACTTAAAGTTATTAATAAAGTGATATTTCCTGCCGATTACGTAATTATTTAAACGGCAATGCAGAATTTGAATAACCGTAATAGCTCAGGGGATAGAACGCTCGCCTTCCAATAAGGTGATAGGGTTTCGAATCCCAGCGATGGCTGGTCGATACGAATTCCGCACCCGTCTCACACCGATCACAGTATTGACGTAAAAGTATCCTCAGTAGTAGACGGATCATGGGTTAGAGTCCCCTTTCCGTCAGGCTAAACGTAGGAGATTTTTGTGGTTTTCCTTTCCATGTAAAGCAAATAAGGGTTAGTTCCATTAAAAAGTCCTCCATGAAGGCAAATTTCTCCCAATACTTGAATCAGGAGTTCCCTCGTTTTCTGCAAATTATAAGGCTACGGAGTTGAACATTAGTAGTTGTAAACCCAAAATTGGGTCGGCTCTTCAACAACGGTTATAAAATCAAATAAAATTTGAGGTATAAAATCTCAATCAGTAAGTAAAATCTCAATCACTCATATTGTGAAAATTTCATTTTTTGAAAAATATTCGATTGATTCCGTTCTAATTTTGGATTTTGTCATTTAAAATTTGGTTTGAAATTTTGTAAAAAAATTTTTACGTTTCAAAAATTGTTTGATCATTATTAAATTAAAAAGTTAAAACCAAAAACAATTCTTTTTATTATTTTTAATAGTGTCAGAGACATAGTGAGATATGAAAAGCATTAAAATCTACATATAAGGACTCAAATTTTCAACTAGTCTCGTGACTAAAATAGGACTAATTTATCCGGTTAAAATCTGAATCTTTCAAAAAAAAATAGGCATGTCTATTATCAATATGTCTATATACTTGCTTTCGTATCTTTCATTTGATCTTGCATAAATAGCATAACTAATTAGTATAATTATCTTAGAACCGTGAAGATTTGTACTGTACATATCTTGGTGCATGATAATCCAATCATTAGATCAAAGGCTATTCAAATTGTTTCGAATTCTTTCTTTCTTTCTCTTTTTTCATGCTATATTTACCTTATTTTGAAGATTAATTTTTTTTATTATCTTTGAATTTTAAAAATCAATTTTGCGTCATGATAAATTTTTTTTCTTCATTTCATAGAGTCATTATTTACTCGTTTTTGAGATGATTGCGCATTACAAAAAGGAAATGGTTAAAAAAAAAATCACCCAGGAGTAGAAGTAAAAAATGTGAAGAAAAAAAAAGTAAAGAAAAGGCGTAATGTGGTAAAAAACTTTAAGGGCCGGTAAAAGGCTATTTTCGCAGAAGACAGTGGGGTGAATTTGCTGATGTTTGGAAGGTGTTTTTGAAAGGTTACCAAAATAACACATTCGCGAATGTATTGTGAGAGATATCCATGACCCACTTTTCCGTTATGTCAGTATTTAAAAATTGACTGACTTTGGAAAAGTCAAAGAGGCATTGAGTAGATAATGGCTGATTTTTTCCCCTCCTTCAATCAACTCATCATTAACGACTTTTTTCAGCGTTTAAAGAGATTTAAAGTAAACTGTTTAGAGAGAAGAAGACTTTATTCGAATTTCTTTTGTTATATAGGTTATTTTTGTAAGTTATGAGCACTATGTATCACTTTTAAGAGCGAAAGAGGAAACGAACTTTTTTTTTTCCTATTCTAGCTACAAAAAAAAATTTACAAGCAAAGAGGGGAAAAAAGAAATGAAACTTTCGATACTTCTTTTCAATAGTATCGGTTGGTATCGGTAGTACTTCCATTCAATAGTATCGACACTTATGTTCGGTAGTATGGAAACGATTTTATAACCATCGTTGAACAACTGACCTAATTTTGAGCTGACGACTACCAATGTTCAACACTGTAGCCTTGTAATTTTGAATCTAATCCAGAAGACAAGTTAACTCCTGAACCAAACATTGGCAGAAGTTAACTTTCGTGGAGGAATTTTCTGATGGAACTGACCAGAATTTGCGATACATGGAGCGAGAAACCTCCCACGGTTAGCCTGACGGCAAGGGAATTCTAACCCATAATCTACCACTGAGGATATTTTACGTCAGCACAGGAATTCGTATAGAACAGCCATCGCTGGGATACGAACCCAGGTCACCTCATTGGGAGATGAGTGCTTTTTCCCCTGAGCCACCATGACAATGGAAATAATTATGACTTTTATTAATATAATAATCTACTTGTATAAATATAATTGAATGAGCTACATTCATTAATGAACTAAATATAATTAAACTAGCTATCTTTGGTGACCAGCTTGGAGACCATTTAAAGTTAACTTGTACAACATACAAACCTTAATGGTTACCAAACAAATTGCACAGCCAAAATGCATTTAAATATTCGAGTTTTTCAATCCCTTATTCAATCCTAACACCTGAATTAGTTTTAAACAATTATATTTGCCAAATTGATTCACTGTCTAGCTGTTGCCGCGAGTACTTTGATTTCAGTTATAATTATTTTCAAGAGATGTCCACGATATAGTCAAAGTTGTTTAGATACTGAATTTCAGTAATAATTTAAAATCTGTGAGGCAGCCATTAAGTCATACAAGCCACCGTATGTATGAGTTCTCATAGTAGGTAACAAGCGCATTAAAATTATTTCCATCTCTTTCATGTGATAAGATAGAAAACTCATTCCATTGATCTATTACGTGCTGTACTATTTCCTCATGCACCTCTCTAGCTATAACTTAAATATCGTATAATGTCTATGTGATATTGCTGGAAAAAAGGCAAGCTCTGTCTCCAATAATTAGCATAATTAGCATCACAGCATCGTTATGTTTGTACAAACATTTTGGAAGGAATAAAAAATAAGCACTTCGTAACTTACTTTTTATTTCTTTAAAAATTCAAAATTACTCTAAAAATAATTAAAATATGGCTAATTATTCAACAGTATTTAAACTATCGCTTAACAAAACAAATCTAAATAAATACTTAACGTATATCAAATTTTTTAACGCTGCTTAAATTATTACTTGAGGCAACCTTAAAAAATGCAAAATTAACCACATTGTTACCAAAGATCGGGAAATATCCGAGTTTATGGTACCACATAAAAGAAATATATAGATATCGATGATCTATATTTACGTTTATTATTTTTCTTCACTACAATTTATTAGACTTGGACTTGTAAGATGAAATATAACGCAAAAAAGCCAAAGTATGGGCTTTATAAGTTTGCATCATATTTAGTTGCAGATCCTACAATTTGAGCCAATTAGTTAAATAAATAACTCAATAAATAAATAACTTAATAAGTAAATAAATAAAAAAATTCTAACTAAAATTCATTTTCTAACCAAATCGAATGCCTTTTTTTTTATTAAATCGAACAAAAATGCCTGAAGTAGAACTTATTACATAGTGGTTCGATTGATTCATTAAGCAGAGTTGCTGATTATTTGTGGTATTTCTAATTTGATATTCTTATATATGATTCTTTTCAAGGTTACAAATACTTTCATAACGTATTTACTGTAAATACGGTTTTTCGAACATAATTTCTCATCAATTCAATAATCAATCGATCAATGTGACAAAAACAGAAAAAAGCAGTATTCTCTCTTATAAATCTTTTTACTTATCACATCCGATAGCTGTACTTACTATTTTGTTGAAAAAATCGTGAAACAAGGCATGGAAACAAATGCAGAAGACGACCAATGATACGAATACGCCCTAAATTGTTCAAATAATTAACTTCTTCTTGGATCTGTAAATATATAAAAAATGAAAATTAATAATTTTAAATAACAACGCAACAAACTGATTAAAAAATTGCTCTTCAATATATTAACTTGACTTCAATTACATCGATGGCAGAATAATCTTTTCTAAAGACTTAATATCACGTTAAACTATTTAAAGTTTTCCGAAGTATTAATGAAACATTTCAGTTATGTGAAAGTAGATTGTAAAGCATCTGGCACCTCTTAGTATTTAATAAAAAAAAATTTCAGGGTACTATTTCGAAGTTTTTTTTACATTGCCAATGCATTTTTTGTTTTTCTAAATTTCTGTGATCATTTTCCCTCAGTGAATAGCTTTCTCTTGAATAACTAGATCTTTGTAATTATCGTCACAGAGCAGCGGTGTCTCAGTGGCTAGAGCTCTAGCATCTCCATGAGGTACAAACTCAAATTCCAGTGATGGCTGTTTGATGCGAATTTTGCTCCCGGCTCGCAACGACCACAGCGTGGCGTAAAATATCCTCCGTAATAAACGGATCATGGATTAGAATCCCATCGAGGATTTCTTTTCTATGTAACGCAAATGCATGTTAGTTCCATCACAAAGTGCTCCCCGGAGACTTTGCCCCAATGCTTAATCCAGGAGCTCCCTTATCTTCTGGATTGGGCTCAAAATTACAAGGCTACGGAATTGAACATAGATGATGGATAACTCTGAATTGGGTCGACTGTTGAAAGCCGGTTATAAAACAAAATAAGAAATCTTTGTTACAAGACTTATAATTTGCAACTTTTTTAAAGTGCTTATGAGATGTTTCAGAAACGTAGCGATAGACTTTAGTAGTAGAAAAGTGGTCATTTTTACTTTTTTGGAAAAAATATTAGTTTTTTTTTGGGACTATCTGAAACATTTCATTCATTGAATATGTTACGAATCTTATTTAATTTTTTACATTTCGGGGAGCATTTGTGTTGTGCTGTTGGTCGACACTAATTATTTCAGGAACGAAAACTAAAAGCCCGGTCCAATTCTGAGCCATAGAGACTGTATTCCCAGCAATTCATCTCAAACATTCTAATATTTAAGTAATGAATTTAACATACTTAAAGCATCCAAATCAATATTAAGATCAAAAAATATGATTTCAAATGATACCCTAAATATGTCGTACAGTTCACAATTGATTTTCATATATAGAAGCTAAAATAGCTTAATAAAAATGCCAAGCATAGCCATAGTTTTTAAAAGTTAATTGTTTCACAAAATATGTGATCAATATGATTTCTGATCTAATATTATTTCTGTGTATAATAGACACTTTAAATAGATAAGATTAATTTTTAAAGTAGGGAAAAGAATTTATAATTTCAAATATAAGGATAGCTTGAATAAAGATCCTACATCAGTCTATAAGAAAATTTTTGTTTTGTTTCTTGCACTTCCCAAATAATACAGGGTGTCCCGTAAATGTTGCGAATAACTTCTAGGGGAAGTAGAGCACATCGTAAGTATTAAGAATTACCTAGGAAACCATGATCAGAAATGTCCTCTTACGCTGCTAGGGGCGCTTTCCTATTATGAATATGCTGCTCGTGTGCCCTTGAACTTGCACTTTTATCTTTCGAAAACATTTTAATTTCATGTTACTATTAATATAACCGTCTTTAAACAGCCGACCCAATTTTGCGTTTATGACTACTAATGTTCAACTCCTTAGCCTTGTAGTTTTGAACTCAATTCAGAAGGCAAGGGAACTCCTTGATGAAGTATCGGGAGAAATTTGCCTTCGTGGAGGACTTTTTGATGTAACTAACTCGCATTTGCGTTACATGTAGAGGAAGATCACGAAAACCTCCCGCGGTTAGCCTGGTGGCAAGGGGACTCCGACCTATGATCCATCTACCACTGAGAATATTTTACGTCAGCACAGTGGTCGGTGCAGGATGGATGTAGCGTTCGTATCAATCAGCCATCGTTGGGATTCGAACCCGATTCACCTCATTGAAAGACGAACGCTCTATCCCCTGAGCCATCACAGCTCTATGTTGCTATTACTTATTGTCAAGAGTTCCATCAAAATAGATTCAGAATGTTGTTTTTTCGCAATTTAATGATTAGGCGAGCTTGTTCAACTAGTCACTAAATCAATAAATTATGATAAAACTGCTGATACTGTACTTGTTTGAAGCAGTTTTTGACAATAAGTAATAGAAAGCAAAAAATTACGATAAATAAATAAAAGTACCTTATGTTTAAACTCCTAGATGTGACAGTTCATTATAGGAAAGCGCCCTTAGCGGCATACGATAACATTTTCGGTCGTGTTTTCCTAGGTAATTCTTAACCCTTACGATATCTCCTACTTCCTTTAGAAGTTTGTCGCAACATTTACAGAATACTCTGTTGGTTGTACGCCGCGTCTCTCAAATTACGTTATATACTAGGTTTCTAGCACTATGGTGCAAAATTAGATAATATCAGAATTTAAAAAAAAGTTACACGGTGTTTATTTCCTTTCTTTTTTTCATTAAAAAAAGGCAAAATTTTGGCTTTGCTAAAACCAATAAGAATAAAGAAACTTTTCAGCAAAGAAATTTTAAACAGGTTATTTTATAACGTCGTTCTTTATGTTAAAAACACTTTCGCGTTCTGTTGATTCTAATAACACTTGGGCAAGCCAAGATCGCCAGTCATTAGCTTTTGCTAATCAAGTCAAGAAGATGCGCCTTTCGTTTAACAAGAAACCACCGCAAGGGTGAAAATGCGTCTTAGCTTAGAGCCCCACAGGTAGATGGCAGTACCACATTCCTGGATCACTTCCTCAATTTAAATATAGATCTGAAGAAATAGAAAATTTTCTCCAGATCCATGTACTCAAGGTAATGCGCAGAACTTTCGATTCCACATATTTTACTAGCACATATATCGCATGTACTCGGTTAGTCTTAGCGGAGTCGAAAATCGAACCCTACATAGCTACCACGGCCTACAGTGTTCGTTACATAGTCATATAACTATAACTCCATCTATTTCTACTTTCCGCCTAAAACTATTTATTTTAATTATTTATTCTGGAAATTTATCACAAAATACTCTGACAGTTAAATTTTGACCTACTAGCGGCACTTCTTTAAAGACAAACTGAGTTCAGCAATATGGCTGAACACAATGAAAAAGAATTTTATTTTTCTGAAACTCGTGTTACCTGAATGATTCACGTGGCGCCTTACCTTCCGTCTTTCTGGTTGAACGCATAAAAATAATTAGACTTTCATGAAGCAGCTCCCTCTTGTGAAAGGTGACGGCTGAATAATACAGCCGACATTTTAAAGTCGGATTTATGTCTCAATGTGTGCTTCGTTTCAAATGTTACTGTATTTTGAAACGGGAGTGCAAAAATTTTAGAATTATGCAAGTGATTCTCAACTTTTTTTTTCTCACCTACCATACGTCGTTAACATTTTGACATACCATTTTACAAATTGTAGTTAATAAATAACTTATTTTCCCTTGAAAAATGTCAGAAGCTTCCAAAGTTTTTGTAAATATAAATGAAATATTTATTGTGAAACAAATGGTTGAAAATTTATAAAAATTAAACTAAGCGAAAATTACCTGATCAAAAATAAAGATGGAATATGAAGACCTTATTGAGAATTCACAAAAGTATAAATTAAAAGGTAAGAATGGGGTAAAATTGTTTTTTAATTATTGCAAGGGTTTGTTTCTCTTTCTCTACTCAAACATAAAAAAGTATTTAAAATATCGTAAAAGCGTCTTATTTATTAAAAAAAGTATTATAATTGCAACATTTCTGAACGCAGAACCAATTCTAAAATTATAGAGAAGTAATGTAGCATCTTTGGAAAATTAAAATATTGTGGAAGATTTGTAAGTATATTTTTCTTGAAAGCATTTCTAACAACCTTTTATTTTCGATACTGAAACATTAGAAACATTTTATTTTAAAATATTGTAAAATCGTTCAATTCATTAACCCTCTGGCCAATTGGAACACCGTTGACGCTATTGAATTTCTTTTCTTCTGACGCTCTACTTACAAGTAAAAATATATAGTAGTATTTCTTAATAGTAAAAAACAGTATAATAGTTACTAAAAAAATCTATCTTTAACGTTAATCTTTAACGCAAAGAGGGACAGCGGTACCCGATGCTGTATTTCATAACTACAAAATTATTGAAATGTAAAATACAATATTTTTTTTTACTTATTTTGACTTAAATTTTTACGAAAGTATGAAAAAAGTGTGAAAAATATGTCTAATGATAATTCTGCGTCAAAGGGTTAACAAGATGCTGTTATTTCAAAATTGCAACTCAGAATCTCTTGTGTTAGTTGCATAAGTTATCTTAAATTTTTAAAAGATGGAAGAATTAAAGAAGAGTAAGATATTAGGTATGAAGGATTAAAAGATTTTGGAAGATTATGGTTTTGGAGAGCATCTTTCACAACCTTTCACATCCGTTAGTTAAATGTCAAAAAAAAATTTTTTTTTTACTTAAAATATCTTAAAAGCGTTTCAATTAGTAACGAAATGCTATAATTCAAAAGTTTATACATAATTATGAAAAGCATAGATATATTCATTTCTGAAAATCATACATAAGTTATGTTTTTGAAAGATTAGTAAATATTTCTGAAACATAAATATGACGTTTTGAGAAGTGTGGGTGAAAACTAGTCAAAATAACATCAAACATCTAAACTCGTATTGATTAATTAGACATATATAATTGCATAATAGCACATAAAAATTACAGAAGTTAATCTAAAATATTTCTAGAGGGCGGACACTTTCATTTCTAATTATAAACGTAGGTATTGCTCGATTAAAAAACTTCATTCGCTTCAGAAATATACAGATTGGATATTACAGTTTAGAGGCCTTAAAAATAGGCACCCATTATCAGGACTTGCCAGACGTGAATACGAAGAAAGAAAAACGATTTGAAAGATAAAACATAAAGTCGCTAACGAAGAATAAAAAATGAAAGTGATTC